CTCAGCAAATGCTGGATGGACACGGGGATCAGGCCAGGAGAGAGAAGAGAGGGAAAAGAGAGAGGGAGTGGAGAGAAGTGAGGAGAAAGTGCTGCTCCAGGATTTCTGCATCTGTAGCATCCAAGCTGCTGAGCTAGTCAGTCAATCAGCCATTTAGTAGTAACTATATTTACTTTAATTCCTCTTCAAAGGCTAGCACAGGCATGCAGCAGATAGTGTCGTTCTTACATAGCGGAATGAAAAGGGGAATGGCTTGCAAATTTAGTTTCTTTCATTCTTATTGAAGCAAAGGCTAGTCAGTAGGCACAAAGAAACCCTTATTAATCTGAAGTCCTGACTCGCTTTTGCCTAAAAAGAAAGAAAACAGTGTAACTGGCTGTAGGCCTATCAGAGTGGAGAATTATTTGCCAGTGAGGTAGAGGCTTAAAAACAAAATCCCCATCCATCTTGACGATGGCGGAAAACAAATGCAATCTGGTTAAGCAAACCCATTAGAAACCGCAGTGTTTGTCTGACTCGGAAATGCAGCAAGACGTGCAACGCCTGTGCAAGAGCTTACATAGGATTAAAGTGTTTACCAAAACATCGAGGTCCTCTGCACTGGCTTTACTGGAAGACCCCTTAACTGCAGCGGTTCCCCTCATATCCAAGTGTGTTGTTGATACAGCTCAAAGCTAACAGTCGCGGAAAGCTGTTCACCAAGACCGGAGTGAACGGATGCAAACAAGGCCAAGACAACAAGGGCAGAGTTGGATAAATAAAGCCTCAGTGAAATCACTTACTCTGTGCTTCTATGCAAGGAGTGTGGCTCTGTTATTGGAATATTATCACAACCGAGCAACGTGAGCACTAGATGTTTGTCAAAGAGAAGATCACGCACCACGTTCATACAGTAAAAAGCCGCTCTCTGTATTCTGTCAGACGTTTGCTGCATCCCCCTGGAGCACGGTTGGACAGTCAGGAAATTCACATTTAAGACGTCAGTGTTGATAGTACACAGTCAGTGCAACGTGGCAGATGCCATATTTCCTCAATAGCTCTTAACTCATAGACCCAGTTTGGCTAAATGAATGAGGTTTCTGTATCCAGCCTGCAGAGGAGGCACCAAAACCTGATATCTGAAGACAAATGTGCCTCTCACATCTCCTTAAACTCACCGGAGGCACAAATAAAACGCGCCACCCTGTGCCCTCTTGTGGAACTCCTTCCCAACACGGTGTTTATCTGTCAAACGAAGGCTGTTGGTTATGCACATAACACAAAGCATCTAAACATTTAATAAAAAGCAGCTCATTGTTTATCAGTCTCCTCACCCTCTTGATTAATTAGCGTATGCCGTTGGGCTAAATGCCACATAATGTTGGTTATATATCACCCGTGGTGCACCTTCTCCCCCCTGTTAACTGCTGATGAATGGTTTTCTTTGCCTGAGAGAATATCCTACAGCCCTTTGGTGGCAGTGACCTTTTACTGACCTTTGACCCCCTTCTTAAGCCCCTTCCCCTACCTGACCCCTGGCTTGCTGTATTGTTATTGTATATTACTCTCCCTAAATGCAACTTACTTAAGCATGCATTAACCCAACTTCTTATAGTGGAACTAAAATCCAAAATAAAACCATGTCTGATTTACCTCTCTTTCTCTGACGTACATCCAGATTGCACGCCCTGTCCTGTGTTTTAAAATACTAACAAGAGAAATGCATTGAAGTAACTAATAATAAAGACTTTATTATTAGTTAAGTGAAGGTGGTGACACTTTGCCTATAAACTGTCCCCCTCTCTTTGTCTGCCTCAGTGTGTGCTTTCTGGTTGTTCATCTTTTATAGTGTGAGAAATTTAATGCCTTACTTTCTTGCTTGCTAATCTGTTTTATTTTTGTCTTTTTGTACATATATGTTAATACACATATATGTGTATCTCTCTGTTTCTTTTCTGAAAATGTTCAAATTTTAACTTATCTGCTAATTTGCTAAGAATCACTATTGCCAATGTTTTGATGATTTTTTTTCCCTAATTAGAATGAAGCTTCCTCTTTTCTCTATGAATTAATTGCTATTTAATGAACGGCAGAAGGTTTTTAAGATTGGGTGTCAAAACACTGCAGCTGTATTGGAGTTTCAAATTCACATCCTCATAGAGAAAAAAGAGAAGCTACCTCCAAAGTAGACCCTCACCACTATCTGTGAAAACTGTTCCAAGCTGTTTCTATGCTGATCTCTAATATTCTCCTGTTATTTAATAGCTATCTCTGATTGAAATTTGGATTTAATCAATGAATGAGTCGATTAATTTTTGTGCATGGCAAAGAAGTTGCAGCTTAGGGTTTGTAAAACTGTCAGTGTTGAGAGTGCTGTTCTCTTTTGTAGATGGGCATGTATATGCTCATTGTTTGTATATCCCCATCCCTTCCTTACAGCCAAAAGCTCTAATGCCGCCCGACCGCTTCGTGCCGCCTTTACATGGACATGGCAACTGATGTACACGTTCACCCCCATCTATGTCATTTCCTTCCTAGTATGTTCATAGGTCCCACCCCGTCTCACATTCCCTGCTCCCAAACCCTTTACGTAGAGATTCTAAGATATGTACAGTCATCCATTTGTTCATTACTGATGAACATGTTAAAGTCGAGCAAAAAAAAAAAGAAAAAAAAAAAAAGAGTCATCTAATCAGGCTGTAGATATTTATGAAGATACTTATCTATCAAAGCAAGAATTATAGATATACAGTTTTCTTTTTTATACAAAACTAAATGATTATCAAAAGAACAAAAAAAAAGATATCCTGAACAGAATGGTGAAGATTATTTTTCATGTCATGATGTGTGGATGTATGTGTTGTTGCCTCCCTGTACCATCCTGTCTAAAAAGAGAAATATATACTAATTAATCAGAAATTGTTAAAACGAAACTAACCTAACTTGTCCAAAGGCATTCTTACACAACTTTCTTTTGTAAATTTTTTTTTCTTCCTGCCAAAATCATGCGGGCAATTTGTTGATGTAAGTTGACAAAACTGATGGTATGCTTTCTTCCTTTGAAAACTGTTTTTTGTAGGCTTTTATGATTTTCCGAGCTGACTTTGTTTTTACCTGTTTTTTCTACTTACTTCTTACTAATCCCTTTCTGGATAGCTCTATCTGTGGCTTTACTTTGTGAATGTTTTTACAATGTTTGCTCTAACTCTGAACTCTTTTTGCAATGCCTTAATTATTATTTCGGTTTCCTTCGTTTCTGTTGTGTTTTCTTTTTCTTTTATTGTTCCAAAAGGTTTGCATCTCTTTATAGTGCCCTGTTTGTGAGCCTTTGCAATGTACAAATCAGCCACTTTGGCAAGAGGATAAGCAGCTTCAGTAGACATCTGAATGTTTCAAACTCCTTGTAGTAGTCAAACAACAGGTTTCGCCAATAAAGCAAGTTAAAATGGAGTTATTATAAATGGGTGTGTGTAGAAATGTTTTTAGGTCCTTAAGTCTGACACTTCATCACTGAATCATGTTATAATATCACTCTCCACAGTGAAGAACACATGTAACGATCTTGAAAAACGGTACAAATCTGCAAACATTCAGGTGTCATTGAACTGCCCCGTGACTTTGTGCCATTGTGGTAACTGTAGGGGTCAAAAGGCAAGAGGCTAGGGCAAATAGGGGAGCCTACCAATGCTGAGACAGAACAGTTCCCTCAGCTTTTCAAGACAACTTGTGAGTGCGAGTCTTTTAGATCAGTGTGTGACCCTCTGTTAGACCTCAAGTACCAGCCAGGTTTTTAAGAGGCTCAAAATAATGTTTTTGGACCTTGGAGCAATTCTAGTCCATAAACATTACCTTTCCCTTATTAGTTCTCTGTCGTTTCCCCGCTTTACGATGCTGCCGTCAGTGTAAGTATTTGTCCACCCATGTAGGTCAGCAGGGTTAAAAAGTGCCTCTCTCTGAGCAGCTGTATGAAAACAACTTACAAACAAGTTTCTCATTTCAGACTTAGTTAACTTGCTTTCAGGCCCACTGGCTTGCACTTGAATTGCAAACAAATGCTAATACCCTCTGCTCCTTTTTACCCACAGAGCGCATGTTTTGGTACTCAGAGTTTTTGAATGGACTAAAAAGGATTTACACTTGATATGATAAATGAAACAAGCCTCTTAAAAGCCTCAGTTTATGTGGAGAAATATGCAGCATTACCGGATAGAGCTAAATATAGGGCCAAAACTGTCTACAGTAATTCACACTGATTGATTCTGAATCTACATGCAGCACATAGAACATATAATAACCATGACGAGTTCATAGTGCAGTATAGATGTAGCTCTGATAAAGCATACTGCTATATGAGAATATTTAGGATATGTATGAGGGGTCAGTTTATTGTGGCTCACCCTTGTGCATCCCTCAAAGCCTTTTGATGCAATGTATACTTTATTTATGGCTGTTGTTTTCTTTCAGTTTGGGTCTTGTTTGGTTCTGAGTTTCATTGTTTTTGCACTGGTACAGTATTTTCTGTTCTTTCTTTGTTTGTTTATCTTCAGTTCATTTCCTCCCTATGTTGAGCTTTGCTTTTTACGTTTTTTGGTTACCGATTCTTTTGGTGTTTGCTTCTTGCTTTGCTGACGAAAGACGTTCGGCCCTCTGACTGCTGTTCGTGTCTCTGCTTCACTTTCCAGGAGGGGAGCTAGTCATCCCCGTGCTAGTCGAGGACCCCATAGACATCCCTTCTGTATCCACCCGTTCTCCCTTCATCCCCCTCCCCCCAACCCTCCGTCCCGTCCTCACCATTATTGAGACCACCAAAGAATCCTTGGCCATGGCCACTGAGGCGGGGGTACCTTGCTTGTCGGACCGAGGCAGCGATGATTGTGATGATGGTGATGGTGGTGATGATGGTGATGATGATGATGATGATGGCATGGTGATTTCGGGGTTTGGCTCTGGCGAAGCTTTCGACTCTAGCCTGCCCCCGACTGACGATGAAGATTTTTACACGACCTTCTCCCTGGTAACAGATAAGATCTTGACCACATCGGCCTATGAAGGTGGCTACAAAGCCCTCGCACCCAAGTGGGAGGCCAAGGACTTGAGGCCTAGCAAAGCCTCTGAGGCAGGTAGGACTACACCCACCTCGCCTCTACCCGACCTGCGGGGCACGCCACCGGCGGCAGTCCCCTCAGATACGCCACCCAAGCTGCCCGCCGGGAAAATGAACAACCGCGAGGTAAAACCCCCGCAGCCGGACATAGTCCTGCTTCCCCTGCCCACGTCCTTCGATCTGGACGGCACCAAGCCGCGGGGCCCCTTCATCACCTCGCCCATGCTGCGCACAGTGCCTGCGGCCTTGCCCACAGTGCCCGGCGTGGTGCGGCGGGTGCCCCCGGGGGCCTCAGAGGTGATCCGAGAATCCAGCAGTACAACGGGCATGGTGGTGGGTATTGTCTCAGCCGCTGCCCTCTGCATCCTCATCCTTCTCTACGCCATGTACAAGTACAGGAACAGGGACGAGGGTTCCTACCAGGTGGACGAGACGCGCAACTACATCAGCAACTCGGCGCAAACCAATGGCGCTGTGGTGAAGGATAAAACACCCAGCGGCAGCGCCAAAGGCAGCGCCAGTAGCAAGAGACCGAAAGATAAGGACAAGGAATATTATGTATAGAAATCAAGTCATTTCCCAACACATAGAAAATAAACTGTTTGGAACAAAGTTATAAACATTTTGACAGTACCATATTGGCAACTGTGATTTAAAAAGGATAAAACCTCCTGAGAACTCAAGACTTACTGAGTCACTGAGACATTAACAAAAGAACTTTGGCTTATGGAAGCACACTTACTATTGTAAGCATTACGGAGAGACAATGCAGTACAACTTCACCAGGACTCAGCGTGGACCTTTTTAAGGAGTCCCTGCTGGACATTTGGCAGTGTGAATAACATCTCTCTAACATCCACACAACCCCAAGTGACTGCCAAGAGGTGTGTGATCCTTGGAGTTCTAATGACCTTGTCCATTGTAACCCTGTAAAATACGATCGCTGTCATTTCAGCCATTCTGAGCATGCATGTGAGGTGTATGTGACGTGGTGCTGGCATCTGTGTAAGTGAGGGACCTCAAGAAACAATGATTGTCGGGAAAGTTGGAAGTCAAAACATGATTTTGCATTACAAACGGTTTCATTAAATGTAGCTTTCATGGATGCGATGTGAGGTAAAGTATATGTATACTTAAAGCTGTCTTTTTATTTCTTTTTTTGTTTATTTTTTTTATTTATTCATTTACCAATTTATTTTTTTGTTGAATTTGGACCTTTTTTTTTGAAGGATGATGTCCTAGGTGACTAGACAGTGCTCAGTGACCGCTCAGCAGGATGCGATACAGTAATGTATCTCAATATTTCTCTCTCCCTCCCTCACGTCTCAGCTAAGGATTGGACTGCTCTGCATGGCATCCAAATTCTAGATGGTGTTCAAGCGTGCAAAAGTGGATCCACCAGGCGAATTGCACAACACATTGTTATTTCTCTGAATTTTAAAATCTCTGATAGCATTTTCCTTTTTGTCTTTCATTTCATTTTTTTTTATTTTTTTTAATCCAGTTTCCTTTGCATTTCCTGAGATGCTGTGGCAAAATGCATTATCATCAATTTGTGTCTGGCGGAGATTTAATTGTTACAATCTTAAAAAAGAAAAAAATCCAGGCTAAAGACCTACTTCAGTGTGAACAAGTGTGATTCTATCTGTTGTCACAGACGACTGTGTCAAAAACAACAAATATGTTTACATATTTTATTACATCATAGCCGTTGTGCTTTGCAGGTCAATATTGTACAGAAAATTCAAGTTTCTGTTCAGTTTTTTTAAACCCTCTTCTTGTATAGACAGACCATTTGATTTGATTTTTCTGCTGTAGCAACATGACAAAAAAATCATTTTTATTCTTTTGCCAGGAACGCCTGGAGATAAAAAATGATGTGCACAGGAACATTTGTTTAGGCAGGAGCAAATGTTGTTAGATTAGAAGTCTAGTCTCTCTGGATGGTGTTTCTCTTCAGTCGCATGAATATTTGACCATCGGAAGCTGTCAAGTCGAATAGAAAACACCTCCCTCAGATCTTGTATTAGGGACTCCTCCCTATTCTGAAATTACTTTCATCATGTTATTTATTTTTTTATTGGAAATTTAAAAAAACAGAACAAGAGAATAAAGACAGATTATGATGGATTTGGAGATCTACTGCTAGCACCTTACTGACTTACAGGTGTTTTTTTGTTTCTTCCTTTTTTTCTTTTTTTTCTTTTTTTCTTTTTTACTGTGGCGTCAGTGTTCTCGTCTGCTCAGCTCGTCTTTTTGCATTTGATTTTTTTTCTGTTATTGTGTAGCTTAATTTTTTGTCTCATTTTTATGACATTATCTTCCGGCAATACGTTGTTTTTTTATGTCATTATTTATTGCTGAAGTTATTTGTTCTCATTCATTTTCATGCAAAATCGGTCAGTGTGTCTGTTCACTTTGATTTTTTGTGTTGGTACTTGGCTTTTTCAACCAGTTAATTATTATTGTCTTATGCTCCTTTGACTCCAAACAATTCCCAGAAATAAAAAAAATGTTGTTCCCAAACTTTTTGGATGTTACAACTGCAGCTAGCTGTCAGTCATGGTGGGAGGAGATGGAGATACAGAACTATCTACACAGAAGACTATTCACCAAAACCTGAATTTCTCATCCATTTGCTATCACTTCAGTGATTTCCTTTTAGATCAAAAAGTGGTATCATTTCTATTCAAATGAAGTCCGGAGCAGAGTAGCTCAACACTATCATTTACCTTTAGATGATTATGCAAATTCATACACTGTTCATTGATGCAACAAGAGAAAAAAGAAATGAGGGGAGAAAACGGTTATTGGAGGGTCCAGAGTCTTCACAACAACAGAGGAATTGCTTTGGGTTTCTTTAGAGTCAGGTATTTCAGAGAGTGCGCAGTCAAATGAGATTCTCCACAACCATATGGCCGGGGTTATGAGCTACTCAATGGCAGCAGCACCTGCTTTCCAAGCTCGTTTTTACAGTGTCCATATTTCGTGCAAATGGGCCTTCACAGAGCTGGTCATTAACTTGCAATAGCCCATTGATGTAGGATATCAGAGCAGCGTGTGTGAGTATATCCAGCTCGCACAATGACTACATATTAACTCATTCATCCTGCCACAGGCAATGGGAACAAGGAGGCCAGCAGGGATTCGTTCCACTGTGGGACTGTTTTTTTTTTTTTTTTTTTTTTTTTTTTTCAACATTTTGAGGCAGACCCACATTTCAATATTCTTTTTTTTTTTCCTTCACCAAAAATGTGTGGAAATTTGTTCTGCATAAGTCAACACAATAAAAAATGTATGTGTAAGAAAACAACATTCATTTTAGCAAGCTATGACATTCAATTTAAGCTTCATCTCACTCAGTAGTCCCCTAAAGGCAGACGGCAGTAACTACAGGAGCAGTGGAATTGAGCAAAAAGGGTTTAAAGCAGCTATAATCAATATTTTTATCTTAACAATGGTTCTGCTAGGGTCACGTGATTCTGAAGCATCCCTCATCTATGTAGAGCTATACAGTCTACCAACAAAATATGTTCCTTAAGCTTTCTTGTCCATTTTTATTAATTTATTTGAGAAAATTAGCTTTATGTACAAACCACATAGGAATTGATTATATCTCTCTTTTGCTAGGTGCTTGTCCCTTTGTCCAATATTATTTATATTGAGGTCAATATAATACTTCAATTTACAATTTGGTGAATATAATATGTGCACCAAATGTAATGATTTGCTTTGCTAGTTAGCTAGCAGCAGTTTAGCTAGCAGCAGTTTAGTTAGCAATTTTTTTTTTTCTCCATCATGATTGGGTTTAGTCACTGCCTTGTTTAGATACATGGACTTTTTCATTTACAGATAACAGCTGGGCAAAAATCCGTAAGCTAAGTTAGTTTTAGCTCTAGCTGAGGCTAACCCTGGCTATCCCACTAATTTGCCTTGACATTCAGCTTTGCTTTGTTCTTACAGCAGTTTTAATATGCTGTTTTGACAGGACATTTACTGCACAACCTTTTTTTTTCTATGTTAAAATGGATGTATGTCTGAGTCAGATTCAGCTCTTAACTCGGTTTTGATCAAATATGTAGCCGCTGCGTTTTTTAGGACAGAATACTAATGTCACACACTCTCATTTTAAGGTATTTCAGAGCTTAAGGAATGTGAAGCTGTGAGGCTGCTTGCTATCTCTGATTAGTTCTTTTCTAAGCTGACTGCCCTTTTTGAAATCACTCAATATTTATCTGGTCTTCTGTAAATTGAGCCTCAAGCCGCAGCACACTGTGCACCGGGGTAGAACTTCTCTGCCTTTATCTCTCAACTGTCAGAGCTGATTTGCAATCAGGAGAATCTGTCAGCGACACTTAGCTTCATTCACAACATTACACTGGAATATGAATCTCAGTCTAATTGTACATAAAGAGGGCAGGTTTTATGACATCCTGGTAAAAAAGTAATTGGCCTTATCCACAGTGCAGAGGGCAGAGATTAAAATAAAAGGCAAATGCTATGAGGCATTTACCACGACAGTAACATCAAGAGAGGAGATGAAAAAAAAACAAGCATCAGGGAAGGTAACTGCAGCATAAAGAATTAATAAAAAGGATTATAGTTGAGCCAAATAGTTTTCCAAATACCAATAAAAATGTATGTTTGCAAGTAATATAATGATCATAATTAATTCAAGAGCTGTGTTAATGCTGAGAAAGGGAATGCAGGTCTACATTTAGCTCCTACAAAGCTTCTTCGCACAAACCCTGAAACAGTGAGGTATTGCTGTTTTCACAACCATTAGTCATTTTCAAATTTACCCCAGCAGGGTGCCAGCAGAGGATACGTATCTATTTGATATTCACAACCCATTTGCTTACACAGTTGTTGGCTGACAAAGTTTATTGATTAGATTTTATGTGTAGCAACTACTTTTCCTTTTAGTCAAATTAGTAGAAGTAGATTACATCAATCCCGTTGATGTCGGCTGGATAATTCATATCTTAATTGACAGAAAAACAATTTACATTTGCTAATGGCTTTTCCAAATGGATTTCTGTGTGCATTTGACTGCATTAGCTCTGCCTTCGCCCCGTATAAGGTCTCTGGAACACCAACAAGGGAGCAGCTCGGCTCCCATTCACACATTTAACGGCTGACAGTTGACCTGTCATGAAATTTTACTTCAACTAATGAACTGGTTAATTCCACTTAAACGATTTATAGCATGTTTTTCCTTTCAAATAAACAGTGGCTTTATAAGAGCAATACATCAGCTGTGTCACTGATTACAGACGAAATCTGTTGTTGTTGCTTCCTACATTGAGGCAGAGCGCTGTAAAACACCGCAAAGGGAGAGTCTGCAGCTGTAGCATTTTATGGCTCTCCTGTATAGATAGTAGCTTTTTCTCCAGTAAAGATTCAGGAGAGATGCTACATCCTCCAGGGACCAAAGCGAAGCAGCTGTGAAGGCGATGGTGATCTGTCCTGACAGGTAAAATATGAGCCCGCTGACCTTAACTCCAGCATTATGAAGGGCACACACATACACACGTGTGCAAACCACAAAAAGAAGTGTGTGTGTGTGTGTGTGTTTCTCTCGTCTGT